TGGCGCTATGTCCGGACTCCGGACATAGTGACTAATTGTTGTGTAACGTCAACTCCGGACTTAGTGACTATGGCGCTATGTCCGGACTCCGGACATAGTGACTAATTGTTGTGTAACGTCAACTCCAGACATAGTGACTTTGGCGCTATGTCCGGACTCCGGACATAGTGACTAATTGTTGTGTAACGTCGACTCCAGACATAGTGACTTTGGCGCTATGTCCGGACTCCGGACATAGTGACTAATTGTTGTGTAACGTCAACTCCAGACATAGTGACTTTGGCGCTATGTCCGGACTCCGGACATAGTGACTAATTGTTGTGTAACGTCAACTCCGGACTTAGTGACTATGGCGCTATGTCCGGACTCCGGACATAGTGACTAATTGTTGTGTAACGTCGACTCCAGACATAGTGACTTTGGCGCTATGTCCGGACTCCGGACATAGTGACTAATTGTTGTGTAACGTCAACTCCGGACTTAGTGACTATGGCGCTATGTCCGGACTCCGGACATAGTGACTAATTGTGTAACGTCAACTCCAGACATAGTGACTTTGGCGCTATGTCCGGACTCCGGACATAGTGACTAATTGTTGTGTAACGTCAACTCCGGACAGTGACTATGGCGCTATGTCCGGACTCCGGACATAGTGACTAATTGTTGTGTAACGTCAACTCCAGACATAGTGACTTTGGCGCTATGTCCGGACTCCGGACATAGTGACTAATTGTTGTGTAACGTCAACTCCAGACAGTTTGGCGCTATGTCCGGACTCCGGACATAGTGACTAATTGTTGTGTAACGTCGACTCCAGACATAGTGACTTTGGCGCTATGTCCGGACTCCGGACATAGTGACTAATTGTTGTGTAACGTCAACTCCGGACTTAGTGACTATGGCGCTATGTCCGGACTCCGGACATAGTGACTAATTGTTGTGTAACGTCAACTCCAGACATAGTGACTTTGGCGCTATGTCCGGACTCCGGACATAGTGACTAATTGTTGTGTAACGTCGACTCCAGACATAGTGACTTTGGCGCTATGTATTACTCCGGACATAGTGACTAATTGTTGTGTAACGTCAACTCCAGACATAGTGACTTTGGCGCTATGTCCGGACTCCGGACATAGTGACTAATTGTTGTGTAACGTCAACTCCGGACTTAGTGACTATGGCGCTATGTCCGGACTCCGGACATAGTGACTAATTGTTGTATAACGTCGACTCCAGACATAGTGACTTTGGCGCTATGTCCGGACTCCGGACATAGTGACTAATTGTTGTGTAACGTCAACTCCGGACTTAGTGACTATGGCGCTATGTCCGGACTCGGGACATAGTGACTAATTGTTGTGTAACGTCAACTCCAGACATAGTGACTTTGGCGCTATGTCCGGACTCCGGACATAGTGACTAATTGTTGTGTAACGTCAACTCCGGACTTAGTGACTATGGCGCTATGTCCGGACTCCGGACATAGTGACTAATTGTTGTGTAACGTCAACTCCAGACATAGTGACTTTGGCGCTATGTCCGGACTCCGGACATAGTGACTAATTGTTGTGTAACGTCAACTCCAGACACTTTGGCGCTATGTCCGGACTCCGGACATAGTGACTAATTGTTGTGTAACGTCGACTCCAGACATAGTGACTATGGCGCTATGTCCGGACTCCGGACATAGTGACTAATTGTTGTGTAACGTCAACTCCAGACATAGTGACTTTGGCGCTATGTCCGGACTCCGGACATAGTGACTAATTGTTGTGTAACGTCAACTCCAGACATAGTGACTTTGGCGCTATGTTCGGACTCCGGACATAGTGACTAATTGTTGCGTAACGTCAACTCCAGACATAGTGACTTTGGCGCTATGTCCGGACTCCGGACATAGTGACTAATTGTTGTGTAACGTCGACTCCAGACATAGTGACTTTGGCGCTATGTCCGGACTCCGGACATAGTGACTAATTGTTGTGTAACGTCAACTCCAGACATAGTGACTTTGGCGCTATGTCCGGACTCCGGACATAGTGACTAATTGTTGTGTAACGTCAACTCCAGACATAGTGACTTTGGCGCTATGTCCGGACTCCGGACATAGTGACTTTGTTGTGTAACGTCAACTCCAGACATAGTGACTTTGGCGCTATGTCCGGACTCCGGACATAGTGACTAATTGTTGTGTAACGTCAACTCCGGACTTAGTGACTATGGCGCTAAGTGAAACGATGCGTTCAGGTGCGCATGAGAAAACCAGCAGAAGCATAGGCATAATATATGAGATTCGTAGCGCCTTAAAATATCAGGTAACGCGCACGAGACATGCTACTCGCTGTAGTGGGACTGCATAGAATAACACTGCGACTTTGTTTTGTCTGCTTCTTTCGATTACAAATGAATCATTCCGGTGTCACTTAACTCGATACAAATTACGCGATACACAAGTATCTTCGAAAGTAATTGAATTACATTTTTAAGTATTCACTCTGTTCAGGATACTCTGCACGGAAAGTAACTTAAAAGCTCATGAAAAAAAAAAAAAGTTTTTTTTTTAAAAAACAGTCTGGTATAGACAAGCGTGTCAAAAAATTAATTTTACGCGAAAAAAGAATTTTTAGAGCAATATTGACGGCGCGATATTTATTTGAAAATCTGCGCGCAAAGTCCATGACGTTACGGAATGGTCATTCGCTCAACGAGATGGTCATTCGCTCTTTCCATCTCAATGTATTGGCCAAGCCGATCCACCTCTCCTCCACGTGACCGAAATGCCGAGAGAGAAAACAAGTGGAAAGGAGGTGACTACCGACTAAATCGCGTCTGGCGGCGTCATTATTGCTTTAAAATTATTTTTTTTCGCGTAAAATTAATTTTTTGACACGCGTGTCCCACCCACACTGTTAAAAAAAAGAAAGAAACATTTTTTTTAGGGGCCCTTTAAGTAGTGCGTTAATTACTTCGAAGCGGGTATTTCGTAACTTATCTTAACTACCTTTGCCGAGTCCAGCTCTGGATCGCTGAAGTTGTAGCTTTTTCCTAAAATCCGTGGATTCGGCGTTCGTCCCCGCGGCGTTCAGTTTCGAACACGTCTTTCTTTTCTCTTGCTGTCGGTGTCGGGACGCGCGTGGAAAGCACGTAGAACAAGAAATGCTCGTTATTTGTCGCGACGCGTGTCGGCCGTGTTGATTTTATCGCAAGAAGTGGGTACGATTACCTCTGGGGCTGTCCTATGATCCCATCGTAACTTCGACCAAGCTTAGGCTAATTTCGTTTCCTGAATACGCGGATTTGTTCTTGGGAATGTAATCGTACGCGGGTTTTTTTTTTTTTTTTTTGGGGGGGGGGGGGGGGGGCGTAAGACTTTATCGTGGCCCTGCTGGCCCTGTTGCCGTGACAAACGTTACGCGATAGCGTAAATGCACTCGGACTTTTTATTTCTAAACTGAGTTTCAGGATTGCAACATACACTTGTAGAATGTAGTTGTAATTGTAGTGCAAGTTTTGCCATAACTCGAAGTAAAAATAATTAAAATGACGACTACTTTCAGCGAAAGGTAGTTAGTTGCGATTACAAATTACTCAGAAAGTAATTAAATGAGTGTAATTGGATTACTCGCCGCGTATGGTTTGGATGAGCTCAGCCTAGATCTGCGAAGTTCAGTGGAACTGAGGCGCCTGCGGCCGGGAGGTGTTCCGTGTCCTCGACCGATCATATTTCAACGAGGTCTCATTGGGCACCGTTGAGCGGCAACAACGGCGACCTCGTCTCGCTTTAGGGGTCAGGACTCCGAAAGGTGGATATGAATAGCCGCCGACAGAGCGAGAACGGCAGGAAGGCTTTCAGTTGACCCTTCTCCAGCGCGAGTTTCCTTTTGACCCTCGCAGCCAAAACCCGATCTTTAGTAAGAACAGGAGAAGGCGTCTTGGTCTGGCCCTCGGGTTCCATTGGGAGCGTCCCTGACACTGCGTTGATCGCGGGAGTGACGGGAACCCACGGCTTGAACGCCCGGTTCCGGCTTGTACGGAACTCGCTCACGCGGTTCCCTGGAAAGGAGCGCCGATGAAGGCCGACGGGGACCGTCGGGTCGCAATCGGTCGCGCTGGTGAACGGCGGGAGAAGTTTCTGCGTCTGACTGTGCCGGATGCTACGAGGGATATTTATAGCCCATTGCGAGCCCGAGACCTTCGCACTGGGACGTTTTCTTCGAAAAAAAAAAAAAAAAAAAAAAAAAAACTTTCTTCGTCGTGACGCGGAAAACGTGTTTCTCAGTCAACGGGGTGCGTCATTCATGCCGGCACTGCTTGGGTCTCGAATTTCCCTAGGTGCTAGGGAAACTTGGGAACTCTCGTTGATAGCTTGGTCGGTCGCCGCGCCAGAAATTAAACCGTTATATTGTGGTGATTATTTGCGGCCGCCGCGAACTGGGTTCGGCGCGAGGCCATTCGGTTCCTTGGAATGGGTTGGGTCTTTGCCGCGTCGCTGCTCCGAAGGTTAGCATTTCGTACTTCTTTTTTTTTTTTTTTTCTCAAGAATAAAAGGACGCGCGTTACAAAGCACGAGATTCGCTTTAGAGATCATTTTCGTCCGGGCAAGTAGGCGCGACTTTAGTCGACAAATCCAGAAATTTGGGAGAAAACGAAACGCACAGCCTACTTGGCATAATACTCTTTTATTATTATTATTAAGAGACTAGTGTAGCTTTCGGCAGGAACGAGGCACCGTTTCCGCGCTCTTCTCGCGTGCGAACGAGACGCGGGCGAGCGTCCCCTCTCTTCAGCGAGGTTTGTAAACTTTCAGAAGAAACCCCCAGGAGACCGAGAAGACGAGACACCACAGCATAACCACCATAGAAACACAGCGAGAGAGCGCACTGAGAGAAAGCGACGTTCATCTGGCGCTTTGGCAGCCTGGTGGGGCCCCTAGGGAGAAACGAGCCGACTTGGGGAAGACTCGGGGAAAGCGTGTCGCGCGTCGCGCTGCCAAAGCCGGCTCGCCGACGGACGCCGCGGTGGTCGGTAGTGGCAGGACGCCAAACTTTTGCCGGCCCAGAAAGTCCGACTGTGCGGGGTCCCGATGCTCTCGCGAGTCGACGGCCGCGGCTCCGTCGACGAAGCCTGCGTGCGAGTCGCCGCGACGCGACTGGCGCGCGCCTAAAGCTTCGCCGAGCGAGGACCCAATGGATTCGTGCCTCGGCGCCCGCGGCCTTTTCGGACACTCTTCGAGTTCGGACGCCGCGTTCGGCAGCCGCCAGCTGGAGGTCATCCAAGACTTGGACCTCTACTTCATCCGCCAGATTGCCCGCGGCCTCGGGGTGAGTCGCTCAGGCCGCCGCCGTCTCGTCGGTCCGTTTTCTTGGCCGCCTTTTCTCGCATGCGAACGGAGCTTTCCCCCCGGCTTGGGGGAAGGGTCCGGGCGACGCTCGAGACGCGGGCCAACGCTCCCGTTTCGATCCCCTCGCGAGAACTGTCCGCTGTAACGAGGATCGTAGTACAACGAGCACTGCCGTCGGGATCCCTCCGGCCACCCCGCCGAAATCATCCCCACCACGCGGACCAATCCGTGCGCCTTCCCCGGAGGCTTCCGAGCGCCTGCCCCGAGTGTTTTGGGCGCTTCCAACATTCGCAGATAGACGCCTTCGCGAGTGACGAAACTGCCCGCAGGAAGCTGACAGGTGAGCTCGCACGGGAGCTGCGTCGTGAACGCTTCCAAGCCCTCCCAACGGGGCCCGCGGGTCCGAACCGACACGGTGTCTTCGTTATTTCGGGGGCCCGCCGATGATTATTTTTAGCGTGTGGCTGGCGTGTCTTCGGCCCATCTCGGCCCGGTAATTGCGGCGTGCGCGCCGGAGGACCGCAACTGGGCCAGTCCGCAGAGGTCGGAGGTCCTGCGGCCCACGATGGCCGCTTGCGGGGCCCCACTCCGCTGGCCTCGTTCGGCCTTGGCCGACGCCCGTCCGACCGCACCAGAGCATGCGTGGCTCGACTGGCAGGATCGACGTCTCTTTCTGAAGACCGGCCTCGAGCTCGCTGCCCTTCGGGGTGCTTGGGCTGCGCGTGCACGCGAACGGGATTTCTGATTTTCGTCCCCCCGCTTGACCGATCGAGTGTTGTTGACCTAACGCTGATATTTGATATTAAAAGACGACTCGTTCAATCGGATCGCCAAGTTGATTACTCGGGTGTTACGGTGTTTGTTGGATAATAACGGCCCAAGCCTCACCTAAAGCAGATGAGCACAGTTGGCCGTCTGAGCCAGGGATGAGAAGAAAAGGTTTCTTCTTTAGCGGTTGGCCTATTCTGCTCCTTGCGGACCTCATGCGTTTGTTGACTCCTCCCCTTGACCCCAACCAATGACTTGACGCGATGTGCCGTCTCGTCATCGTGCGCTCCCTACGATGCGCCCAAGACGCATTTTGGAACACTTGCTCCCCATATTACTCTGTGACGTCAGGCCGCTGCGGTGGCGCTGCTGTCGGTACCGCGCATGCGCAGATGCTAGCTGGTTTCTGCGCACACGCAGTGCCCACACTTGGTTTGGGCAAAGGCGGGCTTGTTTGTGTCGTGGTGTATATCGAATGGGCCCAAAGTGTGTCGTTGCGGTCACCGATGGGGCTTTTTGTCTGCGAGGCCGGTAAAAGACGCCGAGCCAAGCGCCGTGACGACGCACCTTTGCCGCTGCTTGCTTCCCAGCGTCGAGAGAGGGAAGAAAGGCCTTCTTTTCACGCCTGATACCGAGTCACTCGGGTCTTGAAAGGGTGGAAAAATTCCTTCGCATCTCATTAACGGGCATTCTCGGGCTCTGGCTGTATGGATGCTCAATGGCGCATCAGTATACGGGCACGCGGCCGGTGCCGCGACAAACTAAGGATTTGCACTTAGAAGTAACGGATTACCGGCACGAAATTACTCTTGGTCAAAAAACGTATTCCCTGTATCACTTCGCTGCTTTATTCAGTCTACGCTACTCGAAACAGTCGCTACAGTAGACACATGCATGTCTGTGGCCGCGGGTGGAATTGAGTGCCGCGTTAAAACTAGAACGCAAATTCAATGCACTATCAATAGGGACTTTCTGTAGACCATTCCCCGTCTCCGCTCTTCGCAACGGAGACGCCCCCACTATACTCGGCGACAACTTTTCTTGGCAATGCAGTGGAAGGTACGTTCCGCGTCCCCTCTCCCATTCGGAGTGTACGCAGGCTCACCTCCTCTCCCATATCTGGGGAGAGGAGGAGAGCCTGCGTACACTCCAAATGGGAGAGGGGACGCGGGACGTACCTTCCATTTGGAGTGTACGCAGGCTCACCTCCTCTCCCATATCTGGGGAGAGGAGGAGAGCCTGCGTACACTCCAAATGGGAGAGGGGACGCGGGACGTACCTTCCACTGCATTGCCAAGAAAAGTTGTCGTCGAGTATAGTGCCCTTGTGCGCCGTTGTCTGCAGAGTTCCGGATCTCGTAGCGGGTTGCGGATAGCGTTGAGGGACAGCGGAGGCGATCGACGAAAATTCCCTAATATTTAAGCGATTGTTCGTTTCTACGGTAAGAACTTCCAAGGTCCCCCATAGATCTCAAGTAATTGACCACGAAACCAGCGCTGGAAATAGAACCTGCGCTTAGTCCTAGCTCAGGTTGGGTGACACTATTGTTGATGACAGGTTACGAGTTGAGGAGAAGCTCCTCCCACCCCTCTTTAGCAGAGCGAAGGCATGGAGAGGGGCGAATGCTGGAAAGGTTTGCTCTGCTAAAGGGGTGGAAAGCGGTGGGAGGGGCTTCCCCTCTGCTCTTAAAGCGGGGGAGGGTGCAACGAGTTTAAGAATAAAAGAGTTTGCAGCTCGTCATTTTTACGTTGTTTATCGTGTGCCGGAGGATACAGAAAACATACCCTTCATTAAAAAATGCCGCGATTCCGCTCCATAATCGCAAAGCAAAAGTCTAGCTTCTTTCCCCACCTGCAGCCGCGAGTGGCAGCCGAAGGAACTACGGCGAAAAGCTTACGTGACCTCGCTCGGCTCTGAGCTGCGGCATAACGCCCGCTAATGTACGCAGAGAGTAGGGAGGCTCAAGTGAGGGTGGGTGCAACTGCTAGATCGGCGATCACGCGACATGGACGCCATTTAATTGCTAAATTTTGCTGGGAGTCTATGGGGCAAAGGGTCGTTTTCTTTCCTAACTCGGGTCGTAAAAGCCCATTAAGGTGCTTGAATAATTTACGCAAGGTATAAATGATTATCTTTCCATAGCCACCAGTTTTGTTGCGATAGGTTAAGTATTTTTTTAACGCGAAAAATGGTAAATTCCGCCATCTTGGACGTTGCTGCTTGTCTGGCAACCCTGCTTTCTCCGCTCGACGTTTGCAATTCTCGGAGCGAGAAGGAAGCGAGAGAGGCTGCGCCAAGGCGCTCGTTGCTTGCAATGGGAGGCGAGAGGAGGAAAGGCGCATGGAGTAACAGAGTTGCAACAGAGCGGGCGCTTGCTCTCGTGCAGGCAACACTGGCGCATATCCTTTCTCGAATGCTCTCCCTCAGGCGCCGCCATTAAATTGCAAACGCTCTCCAGGTTTTGAGTTGCGCCCACCCTCACTAGAGCCTCCCTAAGGGAGAGGAAGCGTCCTCCAAGGGAGCACACGGGAACCTACACGGCACCCCGAATTACGTCACTAGGAGGCGGACCAAATGTGACCCCTGAAGACCTGGGAGGGAGTTGAGGGGTGCCAGAAATGCCAATATTATTATTTTTTTTCTTTACACAAGTAGGCCACGCAGGCGAAATCGGTTTTCAGTTCTTTACTTTAGAAGTGTCCGAAAGCAACTTCCACAAATGTTTGACCGAAGTCCGGAAATCGTTGCACTCCCACTTTAACCGGTCACCGACTGTGTGGTCCAATCGACACTGAATTGAACGGAACACGCGGCGCGGAGAATACACTTGGGCGAGGACGCTGCATTATACCAGGATAAGTCGAATTTGGCATCGCCGATTTGCATAACACGGATTCTCTGTGCTTTTAATGCTCGCACATGGGAGAAAAAGCGAGCGTTTTCTTTCAACCTCTCCTCCGCAAAATTTGACGACGTAGCTTGGAGGTCACAGTGTAGGCATAAATATAAGTCCCCCGAGTGACGATATTTGACTGCGCCCGAGCATTGCGTGAGCACTTGCTTCGGGCTCGCGTTAAGCGATAGCTCGGCAAGCATTCGGGTTGTGGCTAGTGTCCAATCCCTACGAATAAATGTGATCGCATATCAAACGGGTATCGTTGATTGTGAGGTTCGTATTCCCCCCCCCCCCCCCCTTCCCCCCCCCCCCCCCCCCCCAGCAGCCGCTCTCGTGGCTGTTGAGACCACTCTGCTCGTTCGTCTCCCGATGCTCCTGGCAGTCCACGTGCTCTCCGAGTCGAAGGGGCTCTGCAAGAACCACCACCGTCGTGTTCAGCTGTCTACTAGGGGTTCAAAACTACCGATAGTACGACCGATGCTCAGAAGCGGACTTCGCATTTTGTCGCCCTAGGCAGCCTTGAACTCAAGTCCTTTGATACTTCTTTCGAAAAGTAACGACAACCAATACAAATGGCAAAGCACATTTCGTTGGAACAAAATGGCGTCATTCTGTTCAGTCTTCTGCACCGTCACACAGTCAGTGCTTCAAAAAAACGTCGCTGCTTGTACGAAGCTCTTATCTAGGGACCTTGAACAGTGCCGCCCCCCACCCCCCGCTCGTCATGGTCAGTGACCATGGGGAGTGGGGACGAGGGGAAGTAGCTCAGTTTGGAGTTCAGATTTTCAAAAGTAGCTAGATTTGAAGCTGCAATTTCAAAAGTGGCCAAATACGAAGCTAGCTTAATTTTAAAAAAAAAAGGGGGGGGGGGGGACAATTTAAGGGTCGGTTACAATTTGACCGCCCCCAAGATTCTGCCGCCATAGGCAGCTGCCTACACTGCCTATTGGTATGTCCGCCCCTGCTCTGGGGTGTAATTATTCCGGTGACAATTTTTTTCTTCAAATATTGATGAATTTATTCGAGATAACGAGTATAGTAGGAAAAGCAATTGAGGTAGAATGGCAGAGACCCTCGACCAAATGTATTTGCAACATACCAGAACACTACAAAAAAGTATTCGAAATCGCGTTTCTCTTCTTTTTTTTTTTGTGCGCTTTGTCTGCATTTTAGCAGCGCCTTCAAGCTTTCTCCTCTACGGTGCATTATCAAGATTTCTTTATCAATCTTAAAGGTGCAAACAAAATGCAAAAACAAAACGCGAGTCTGACGATATGAGTGTGTGATTCGCAGAGTCAGGCGCTTTTAGCGGCGGC